CATAATAATTATTGAACATTTATGTAAAGCATTTCAATAATAAATAACCATAACAATTATTGAACATTAATGCAAAGCAATTCAATAATAAATAACAATAATAATTATTGAATATTAATGCTAAGCAGTTCAATAATAAATAACCATAATAATTATTGAACTTTAATAAAACTCATATGATAATTTCAAGCATATACATGTGAATAAATAAATGAAAATTCCAAAAATAATAATTGGATTTTAATTTTATTTACCACATATATAATGAATAATTCATATGAGAAAACCATAAAATAAATCATAATTTATAGTTTTTTTAATCAAAATTAAATCCAATCAAATAATAAAAAATGTAATCATGATTAAAATTAATCATAATTATAATAAATGATATTTATCAATTTTATAATTGAGAATATAACCTAAATTTCTCAATTTCATAATGATAAAAATCGAAAATATTTGATAGTATATAAATCGAAAATATGCAAATGGTAGAATTGTAATTTGGCAGAACTGCCGTCGCGGGGCTACTACTGCTCACGCGCGGTCGCTGTCGCTGCGGCGGTTCCTGCCCGCGGGTGGCTGTTGCCAGCACGCGGCCGCCACTTGTGCACGGCCTACTCACGCATGGCCGCCACCTGGGATGTCTGCCTGCGTGCGGCCGACCGTCGCATGGACGGGTTCTGGCCGTGTGCGATCGGGTTCTATGATGTCGTCGCATGGATGGGTTCTGTGATGCCGTCCACGGTCGCGTGGACGGGTTCTGTGATGCTGTCGCGTGGATGGGTTCTGTAATGCCGTCGCGTGGACGGGTTCTGTAATGCCCGCGTGGACGGGTTCTGTAATGCCCGCGTACGGGACGGATTCTGTAATGCCCGCTTACGGGACGAATTCTGTAATGCCCGCATATGGGACAGGTTCTGTGATGTCGGCATATGGGACGGGTTCTATGATGTCCGCATATGGGACGGGTTCTGTGATGCGCACGCTACTCGGCGTAACCGTAGATTTGCAGCGAGGTCGACGATGACCATTACTGCTTAGCAGTTCTTGGAAGATAAAGGTAATTATGCATCGTAAATTAATTTACAGATCTAATGCATGATTTCAAAAATCGGGCTCTGATACCAATTGTAAGCATAAAGATCTGTAATTATGCTATGTCAATAATGCGGAAATAACCTATATGCCAGGATTGAAATCAATGCATAGATCTAATTATACGATGCGTACCTTTTGATGTCATATGTTCAGAGATCCCGTTGATCTGCTAAGCACCGTCTTTAATCCAAAATAACTGCAAGCACCCTTTCTCCTCTCTTCCTATCCTTTCACAGGACCCACATGACCCACACAGATTGATGGATTTGGGGAGAGGGAATCCCTCAACGGAGAGGTGCGTCTATACGTGTCAACGTTATGACGCTGCTCTAAGCGAGAGCAGAGGGTCTACGATGAGATCGGATATCTCCGAGGAATCGTTCCGTAGTGGACTTAGTTTATTGACTAAAATATCTGAACGGAACCCAATTAGTTATTCTATTATATCTCTTATTCAATTATAAAAGGATCACGTATTCTAATACATGTGACTTATAGTCTTACTTTGTTGCAACCCCCGGTCTAAAAGGATCGATCATCGGTCTTTTATTCGGCACCAATAGGCTGCCAGTTATAGATCTAAAGAGGCCGAAAGCACTCACCGGAGTCGGGGAGCAAAAGCACGCACGCATCCGCTTCGTGGATGAAATAACAGAACCCCATTTAGAGACATATTAGTGGTAATAATATACACCTAATGCAGGGGAGAAGGGGGCAAAAAAGAGCTAAACATAACCCCCCACCCCCTTAATACCATCGACAAATACATAATACAGGCCCAGAGAGAGTCGTCAAAACGAGGGCACCACGCCATAGCCGGGATCCACCATGAACGCCACCCCCATCGCTGACGAGTGCTTACGGCCGACCTCCACCGCTTCGATCTCCGACCGCTTCACGAACCTCCCCTTGATCCGCGGCCGCGTCTCCGCGTACGCCTTCCGGGACGCGTACCTGATCGTTTTCTCGAACCGCCGGCTCTTCCTCTTCTCCCGGTATCGCATCACCCTCGCCTTCCGATCCGCTGCCCTACCTCCCCCTCCGCCAGCCACGTCCACCGTCGCCCACTTGGCTCCGCCACCGTTCCCGTCCGGCACCACCCCGAACTCCGAGAACGAGACCTGCGCCGATCGCCACACGGACATCAAATCTCGTAAAGACATGGTAACTTGGTTTCGATTCTTTGTGTTAGGGTTTGTGCCTTACGGTGTGGCTGAGAGAGTCGGCGGTGTAGGGGCTGTAGGAGGGCTTGGATCCGACCAAGTCGAGCTCGAAGACGCCATCGGGCGGGAGAAACGGCCCGAGAGGCGGCGCACCGCCGTCCCCCACGGTAGCTTTGGCGTGAACCGGGACGACGCCGTCTCCCTGCTGGTATCGCTCGTCCATCGATGTGGCATGCTCCAGATCCAGGTACGTTTCTACGTCCGAGAAGAAGTGGTCCACCTGTTTGCCGTCCGGCTTTTTCATCAAGCCATTAGCACAAAGATTGGGGAGGAGCCAGGAGGCGGCGGCGGAGGCGAGGGGCTCGAGGAAGGGGACGACGGGGGCGCGTTCGTGGCGGAGGGCGAGGGGGTTGGCGGAGTGGATGTCGGCGTCGCAGGCGGCGCAGATTGCGGCGGCGTCGGCCTTGCAGGTAACACTGGCGGGGGCCTGCTCGCAGACCTCGCACACCCACACGCGCCCGTGGCGCGGCCGCGCCCCGTGCAAGCGCGCGTCGCACTCGCCGCACAGGTAGTCAGCGTCCGCACGGCAGAAGAGCAGGGCCGGGGCGGACTTGCAAGAGTCGCACCGCCGCGCCCCGACTGCGATCCAATACCCGTCTTTCTCGCTCGCCATCTCCCTCTCTCTCGTCTTCCTCCTGTTGGTTTCGGTTTAAATTAAGCCCGTCATTTTAGTTATTGTGGGAATCAGAGTGGGTAGGTGTTGAGGCGAGGCGGGCCACGTGTCCAGATCAGGAGCCACGAAATAACCGAAAATATTTTAGCTAAACCAAACTGGATTGTCGCCGGGTGGGCCCTGGCCAGTCGGCCCTCACCATCAGGGGGCCCACAAGTTAGAACACCGAGTTCGGCTGCTCCCGTACGGATCACGTGGTGGCGCGCGGATGGCCAGGACGGTTGGCATTAGCGAACGTGTTAGCGTAGGTCATGCTTTGATCGTCGAGCGAAACCTCATGTTTCTATTCATCGCTTAGATACGTTCCGTAATTAAATATGTACGGAAAAACTAAAAATCTATTTAGTGAGTCGCAAAGGGAAAAAAGAAAAAGAAAAGAAAAGGATCGGATGTGATTTTCCATTAGTGGGTGATCCGATTGTTAAACCACTGGAAAGCTCGGTTAGAAGATGGTCGCGAGGGATTTTTATCCTTTTTTGTTTTTGAGCTTGTCACATTCATCGTTTTTTATTTCCTTCAAGTTTCTCTGGGCACGTCCCTTTTGCGTGTTAGTGGGACTCGGATGGTCCCACAAGGGTTTCACACTCGGTCTGGTGATTTGGTTGCCGTCGCGCTGCTGCAACGGGATCCTTTACAGGATAGGTGGTAAAGTGTACGCCCGGTGTGTGTGACGTGTTGGTCATCCGTTTCAGGGGTCGCGTGGATCAATCGTGTAGATGCACGGGAATGCTGGTTCCGCGCACGCGACACTCCGAGATGATCGCAGCGGATCCGACAGTTGGTCGTTGAACAGGTCACAGGGCGTCGGGTCTTAGTGGGGCGGGAGAAAGGGACGCGCGTGGGGAATAGGACTTGGGACATATCACGCGGTCCCGATGGGATGGGATGGGAAGGGATTTCATTCCTGCGCTGGCAACGGATTGGGTTGTGTTGGGTTGAATAGATTTGTCTTGTCGTTCTCCCTAGTATACGTGTTGTCAAATGCAAGGTCCACATGTATAATGGTTGGTAGATTAATTGAAGACTGCATGCTTTTAAACTAGTATCCATGACTGGTGGAGTTTCAGCGGCCTGTAATTGGTGCAGTCCACTGATGAACTAAGTCCATGAATTCAAATAAGAAGAGAATTGGATGGGGCTCACTAAACATTCCCTTAATCTGCAAATATATCGAGATATTGATTGGTGTAAACTTATTTATTCAAAAGGGAAGAGGGATATAAATCAGATATAGAATAAGATTCTATGTAATTGTATATTCAAATGGATGTAATTTTATTTTTCCTCGTAAAGCAGTTAAAAATTGTTCTTCCTACATTATAAAAGTTCACCTCTTAATCTCAGCGGCAGAGTTCGAGACCAAGTTGAATGAACTCTTCAAGCGTCCAGTGATGCTTGCCCCAATTCCTTCACCAACCTGTAAAGGTTTAGTTGGCCTGCCCGAATAGTCGAAACAAGTTAATTCATGTCTCTGTTTGAGTCAGACCCAATTAGTATTTGGGGTGATTGACCCGTGAATTTTAGTCATGTAAAGCATCTTTCATCTCGTGCACCACTGTCCTTTTTGTTACTAGAATGCTGCTGTAGGGACAGTCTACTCTATACAGCAATCCAATTTCATGACCAAGTATGAAGTCCTTCAATTTTAGGCTGTGGCTAACTCAACATGTGCGTTGTTGGTAGTGAATTGATTCAGAAATATTTGGGCGATGGTTACAAACTTTTCAAGGAACTCTTTAGAGCACCAATTCTGACTCTCCTTGTAGACTTTATTGATGAGATCGATACATATGGGACTAAAAGGTGCTTGAATGAAGGTAGTGGTTATATATGGCCAATTTTTTGTTCGTCTTTAATGATGCTTAATGTGATTAACATGTTAACTTTGGGGATATTCTAGATATGATGTCAATTCTGGTGGGGAAATTGAAATTCAAAGAACAGCGTCAGAATTGCTGAACCGCTGGACAAATTTATATGGCCTTGACACGAGAGACGATGTTGTATAGATTCTTGCCTTTAAAGAATCAAAAGCCTTTGATCCAGCTTCGCCTTGGTCTGGCCATTTGGGAAGATTGAATTTCTTCTGACTTACATTAGGATGATGACATATTTTACAGGTACCTGCTAAATTCAGTTTTGGTTGGTTTTTCTAGATACATACCTATAAGATTGACACTGGTGGATGGTATTAACCTCGAAGAATTTGCTACTATCAGGATGAGTTTTCTGGAGATGATATCATGGCAATCTGTTCATAAGCAGGCCTGCTCGCTTCAAAAGGACACAGAACGAAAGTAAGAGACATTTATATGGCAAATAACTTGTTAAAATATATTGTAGTGTTTATCACTAAAATATTATTTTATTTAGTGGACAGTATTTAAATATGTGCAGAATGTGGAATACATAGTTATAATGGCCTCAATCATTTTCATTGGGATGCCTTTGAGAGTGGCTGTTGGTTTAGCTTCTAGCCTCAATTTTGGTGCATGCTCTTCGACACGATTTTCTTTTCTTTGGGCTCAGAGTGTTATGCTAGGTCTTAAATGCTTACTCATGCATAAAAATAATCACCTTCGGAGTCTTAAAGGTTAGTGTTTATTCTATTCATATGTATATATTGAACAAAAATTTGGGTCGGTTAATAGATGTTTGATTAGTGTAATAATATTTGGCTGCAGGAATGATCGTCCCTACTGCAAGCATCTGTGTTTTTCTTTGGTAGCAGCATTAAAATTGTTATATGATGCAAAAGAAGGCCATTCACAGAAACCAAAAACCAGAAAACATGGCAGGGCCAGCTTTAACTGTAGCTAATGGCAAGGGGGAGGTACCTCCATATGTGTCTCAACCTTTCAATCTCGGCTGATTGCCTACTGCCCCGATTGCAACAGTGGGGAGACCAGCCATGGTGTGTGTGGTTTGGTTGTTTGTTGGCACAGAGGTCCAGTTTTGACTATGCTCTAACCTTGTGGTTTTCAGTATTACCAACTCTGTGATTGTAAAATCCAACTCTGTGATGCTTATTCTTCTTATATTTGCTGTGTTAATTTCGAGCATTTTCATTTAACTTCAGCTACCGCTGGTAGTAAAAGATGTCAACCGCATGGGTTTTTTTGCTTCAGGTAACCAATGAAGTTTTTAGGAAGGCCAACGACGCAAAGGTCCATCAACAAACAAAGGAGCCCCAATGAACTTTATGCGTGCTCTTACGGACTCGCAGATTACTTGCTTCGAGTTTCCTTTGGAATGGGAATGTTTTGCCTATCTATGAGCTGCATTCTTTACCAGTCATTTTGGTTCTCTTGTTCGTTTGAATACCATTGAGCATCAGCAGCATCAATTATATGCTTTCTGTGTAGTGTGAAGGCCTGTAGTATCCCAGGGTATTCAAGGGGGATGGTGGTGAAATTGATAAAATGATAAAATGAATGAAGAATGAAATTATAAAGGTAAAAAAAAAAGGTATATTTTAATCAGTGCCATATAACGAAAGAAAGGATTTTTCTTAATTGAACAATGAGATTTCCTTGTGCAGTTGAGGAAATATTTATGTTACCATGCCCCCGCAAGATCGAGCTCCTATCAAGGATATCGATCTTGAACCGATACAACAAATATAGTTTACGGACATCTTTTGAATAATGCTATGATACCACGATGAAATGATAGAACGAAGAATGAAATTACAAAAGTAAAAAAAAAATACATCTTAATCAGTATCATATAATGTCTATTTATACACGGTGAATGAGAAGATTTTTCTAAGAGCAGTCAGATTTTCGTTGAGAAAATCTCTGCAATCGAAGAAATATCTATGTTATCAGAAACGCTATGAGATGGCTCTCCCCGATGGAATTTTGCTGTGCTGCCGTGCTGCTTCCTTCAAAGTGTCGAAGATAAAGGATGATGGGTTGGCTCCACTGATGCTTGAATGGACGGTTGGTGGTAAGTCGTGCTGTATCCTTCAGCAGCAGTAGGTCAAAGTTGTCGAAGATAAATTGGACCCGGTAACCCTCTGGATCGAGTAGGCTGTGTATCGTGCGATTGAGTCGCCGCCAGAAACTTGATAGAAAAGGATGCACCCGGCAGTCGGTCCTTTTCTGCAGCTTTCACCCGTTAATGCGTGGCGCCCATCTCCGCCCACTTGCTGCAACTTTTGTATCAGCCGAAGCAACCCAACTCGGCGATAAGAAAGACATCTCTCCGAAGGGGTGTGCGGTGGTGGCATAGGGAAAGCTTGGGGGGGGTTTGTTTCCTTTTTTTTAATTCTTCTCCAGGTTGGGTATTAATGTCGCCTAGAAAAAGTAGGTATGCTGGGAATGGATTGATAACGCTTAACAGCGCTGTGATTTCGCATGCATTGATTCCCGCAGACCCGATGGCCACCGGAGGTGGGTGTCCCTCTCAGCCCGTCCTTGTCACTCCGGGAATTCGTCACTTTTTCCTGGGTAATGTGGCGGTAGATCCCCAACCTATCCTTGGACAAACCAAATTTGCCTCTGATTGCAAGTGGCAACTAGTATTCTTTCGCTTCTCACCAAATGGTTCGATCAATGTAGCACTCGCCAGTTAGCTTGGGATTCTCTTTCTCTCTCTCTCTCTCTCTCTCTCTCTCTCTTTAATTGTTGGATTCAGATGGCACTCGCCGCCCACAGTCCGCCGATATAATTGTGGCTTGGGGTTGACGGCAACGAGGCGGTGGATCCCGCTGCACTACCTGACGAAATTGTCCATTCGGAGTTGGGGTCCCACCGACCATCGCCGAATAGATAAGCTCACGAGTCGCGCAGCCCCCCACCCCCAAGTTGGTAATAAATGCCAAAGAAGAAAAAAAGAAAAAACCTCCACCCTTTACTTATTTATTATTGATTTGATTCAAAAGATGAGGCCCTATTCGATCCCGCTTTACACAAACAAAATAAATGGATTCCACAAATTATGCAAAGCATAATTTACACAGTGCAGTCGGCAACAGTTTTCGTCTCTCAACAGTGATGGAATCACATTCTCCGAGTAACTTTGTTTTCGACGGTCACATCGGGAGCGGAAGAATGCTTTTGTTTGATTGCCCGTCCATCCATGATTCTTAATCCGGTCGACCAAAGCGAGAGACGCGCACACACACGGGTGGGTGGGAGCGGAGTAGAAGTATGTATATTATTATTCATGTGAAATAATAATAATAATAATACTAATAATACTAGTAGAGGAAAAAGAAGAAGGAAGCAACACAGACAGAGTACATTCGAGAGAGAGAGGGAGTGGAACCCGTAATAAACCCTTTTTTTAACTCCTCATTATTTAACCTTATCAAGCGTAGAGCACGAGTGCGTTGCAAGGCGCCAGATCCGCGAACGCCGGCGGCCCCTTCACCACCTGCCATTCCACCCTCTCCACCGCCCCCCTGCCCCCCGCTGCTGCTTCCACCACCGTCCCCACCCCGACGTCCAGCCCGCTCCCCACCACGTAGATCCTCCCATCCTCCGCCGCCCCGCCGCCGGTCACCGCGTACGGCCGCTTCACCTCGGCTGGCACCGCGCCGCCCGCCACCGCCCTCCACCGGTCGGTCTCCTCGTCGTACGCCTTCACCCGGCCGTCCCCGCACTCCGACACCACGTACAGCCGCCCGCCCACCACCGCGCTCGCCCCCGTCCACCCCTCCCGCATCCCCACCCTCATCTCCTCCCACGCGTCGCGATCCGCGTCGTAGACGCCGCCCCTCGGCGACGAGTCGAACGGCCAGGTCCAGCCCTCCGTGACGTACATCCGCCGCCCCACCACCGCCGCGTCGTACCGCGCCATCCCCCGCCGCATCCCCGCGGCTGGTGCCCACCGGTCCGCCGCGGGGTCGTAGCACTCCACCGCCGAGATCCCGCCGTCGTCGCCCCCCGCGGCGAAGATCCGGCCCCCGATCGCCCCCGCCGCGAAGAAGCACCTCGGGGTGGGCATCGGCGCCGCGGCGGACCAGGAGTTGGTGCCGGCGCGGTAGGCGAGGAGGGTCTGGAGCGGGGACTGGGTGTCGGCCCGCATGCCGCCGAGCACGTAGAGCTCGCCGCGGCCGGGGATGGCGGCGCAGGCGAAGGCCGGCGGGCAGAGCGGGCCGTCGCCCCCGGCGGGGAGCGGCATGGGGGGGAGGACGAACCAGCGGCTGGTGCGGCAGTCCAGGGCCTGCCACTGAAGTCGGAGGGTGGAGCGGTCGAAGGCGAAGGCGAACAGGTATGGGAGGGAGAGGGCGGCGGCGGCCTTCGCCTTGGACCGGATGAAGGACGGGCTGGAGAGGGCGCGGTTCCAGGACGAGGAAACCGAGCGGGCGAGGGACTGGTAAGGGAAGGGCAGGTGAAGGAGGCACTGCTCGGCCACCTCGTCCGGCAACCCGGGGATGAGCGGCTCCATCTCCTCCACCTTGGGCTCGGCTCCCCGTGTTTCCTCTTCCTCTGCTGCGGCCGTCTCTATCGGCTCCGACCGCGGAGGCATCGCCACTTTGATCGTCGAATTGGGAAGTACCCTCTCAAACCCCAGCTCGTATATTTACTAGTATACTTTTTTTTCAGTCAGGTTAAGCAAACCAACATAGAGAAGGGGGAAGGAGGAGAGGGGCTTCGGGGTTGGTTTTGGGGACTCTATATATAGCCCCTCCACCACCAAATGATAAATAGTCTTCAAAAAAGAAAAATAAAAAAGGGCATGGGAATGGGAATGGGAATGGGGAGTAAAAGACGGTTGGCTCGGTGTGTGGCGCACCGCCGGGCCCACCGTTGGTAAAAAAAAAGAAAAAGAAGAAGAAGAAAAAAAAAAGAAAAGAAAAAGGGGCCACACAGGTGCGGGGTGGCAGACGCCGATTATGGATTGTGGGCTACGCCACGGCGGGTCCCACGAGTCGCCTCAAGCACTCCCCTCCTTTTTCCCTCTAGTGGGCATCAGGAATCGGGAGGAGGCCGTACACTCATGTCATGTGCCATTATTATATCATCAGTGGACTGCGGGCCTCACTGCACACCACGCAAAATGCATCTCGCCTCGCTCGCACTCGATTTGCGACGTACATACCGTCATATATTTTTATATTTATATATATCTCATATGCTGTGTATATAACGTCGACTTGCCCTTGCCTTCCTTCTGTTGTATCGGACGGACGGGAATGAATCGGCATCAGACTCGGAGCCCCCACCCCCCCAACAAAAAAAAAAGGTCGGTAACTCCAGCTGCAGCGACCTGTCAAACTTCTGGCGCAAGCTGTTCACACACTTGTGCTTGGAGGGCTCCACGTCATTCTGTTTGGCTTCGCCTCGGAATTGAGAACAAAGCGTTTCCAGATTCATATTAATGACACCTGTTGTGCTAACAACACCCAACTCCCTCGCATTGCAGATCGGAGGACTCCGACTCTCCTGCTGCAGAAATCAACGCAGACTCAACGACCGATAACCTTGAGCTTCTCAGTAAACAACAAAAGCCAACTATCTCTGCCTAGATAGCAACGACCGTCGTCGTAACCTTATAGGTAGGTCTCCGGGATTCTGACCCAAAGCATGGGTCCGCTACACTCCCATCTATATCAGGAGGTCGGTTTGGATGGTCCAGCGATTGCGTGGTTTCTCCGTCAACTTCCCCGAACCCAATGATTCGACTCTCGCACCTTCTTTGCTACGCGAGGAAAGAGGGAACCCCATCGATACGAAAGCTTCATCGGCAGCGGAGAGGAGAGGGGGATGAATGGTAGCTTTCGAAACGAGGTGCACCGGGCCGCCTTCGTGGTCCCGCGCTGGGACACGTTTCGAGCAAATCAAATGTCGCCATTAATGCTCTGAAAGCGAAGTCTCAACCACCGTCCGGGATCTCCGCCCGTTTACCTCGACGCATCTCCGATGCCTGGATTCCGAGGGCATCGACTCACCCCATCAACGATTCACCGTCGTCCCAGATGACGACAACAGTGCCCACGGCCATCATCGTCGTCTCACCACTACAATATTAAAAACGATCCCAGCACATGCGTCTCCGCGCCTGACCGATCTTGATCGCTCGCATCGACTGTTGGACTCCACGGAGGAAGACAAGGTCTGTGGGCATCGCGCGGTGCGAGACATATGCCGAGGGGTTGAGGGGGGGGAGTCACGAGGATTGTCTACTCGGAACAGCGTCTCTGTCCACGGCGTGACTGTGCGCACGGCCGAAGATCGAACGCCTGTCGGTAAATTCGACGCTTAGAAGTTTGTAGCCGGCTCTCCCACGGGGATGAGAGCAAGTGTCGGGCATGGGAACTTGGAGCCCGCGCTCTACAGACGAAAGGTTGGTGAGAAGCTGACACGAGCATCCCATACTAGCTTATCTCGCCACTCGAAATAGATTCCCTGCCGGGGGAAGGGACGACGATCTCCGTGATGGCCTTCGTGTTGGATGGGAGTCGACAAGGGCCTTTTATTTTTATTTTTCTCCTTATAAATAGCATACGTAGATTCATGCATGCGTACTACAAATTGGCATCTGATACAACGACATGTTCCCAACTGAACTGATCGCATGAACGATTTTGTTCTCCTTTCGGTCGGCCTTCTCACGAAATTGTCGGAGAATATAACTACAGAGTAGGATTCTGTCCCATGTTTTTTCTTAATGAAATCTGGATGAGATTTTTGGTCTTCTTCTTCTTCTCTCTCTCTCTTTCTCTAAACAAATTACGGCCGATCAGTATTGCAAAGGGTCCGATGGAATCTTTTTAATCTTGGAATCCGGATAAGGGTCTAAAAAATCAGCAATCAAACGAGATATCTCAATTTTGTGGCCCGTTTTGATCCTTCGAGTCTAGCGGTCAGACCGTCGCAGTTCTTGGCATGTGCGTCGGCGAAAATGTCGATGTCAGTCGCTCTCTTTGACGGAAGCCAATCCCACATCATCCGGATTGCTCCGTTAAGGAGTCGTCCGCTTTGAGCTCCGACCGATCGGATCGGATTCCGATCGACAGCCAGCCAGCCAGCGTTGATCGAAAACTTTATTGTTCGAAAGCTTGGGATTTTCCACGTAATTCGCCTTTGATTCTCTGCGTATTCAAAATTCTTATTAGCTCCGTAAAATACGGAGGAATTATTATATTTCTTACATCGAATGCAAATGATATTATTTCATAATAATATTTGATTAAGAATAAATGATGAAGACGAGATTCGATAAATTTTTAAAATTAAGTTTATTTTTTAAATATTTTTATTGAATTTTTGACATAGTTGGTGAAACTAATCTTTTGCATCTTATAATTTTACACTATAAAACGTATAACTCATATTTAATCAAATACATTTATTCATTCTCGATGATATTTTATTTCTTGATCGATAACTATTCCACATCGAATCAAACTACTCCTAGTTTCACACCTTGGTCTTCATCATCGCATCTTTAGTCTCTTTCGATATGTCTCTTTCGATTCGATATATCATGAAATATATTTAGATTCTATTTTTCAGCCGTATTCTTAGACTTTGATATCCTAAATTATTACAATATAATATGATTTCACTCCGCGGTGCTCTCCTGGAATCTGACCCTTTTGATTTCTTAGTTCTTGATCAACCTTGTGGGCACCTGTTTCTGTGTTTTGTTCTTTTCCACCGATAAAAATAATAGAGATGTAAGTTTCACTATGCAACGCTAATAATCTTCTTAAGTCCGATTAAGGTGAAGTTACGCACCATGAAATCGTATCAGGTGAAGTCATGTTGTCCTCTCATGTTCGCCGGGTGGAACACAACGTTATCATGCCACATTAAAACAAAAGGTGCGTGTGACATAGAAGCTTCCCCGAAAGGCCAATGATAATTATATTCTCCATTACGCACAATCATTACCGGCCCATTATCTACGGCTTGCCTAAACCCGACACCGCTACAAGCCTAAGCACTTTTGGATCATTATAATTATAATTAACCTCGCATTCCAAAGGCCCAAAAGCAAGCCTAATCATGCCATCAACTATTGCGCTCGCACATTCATTCCATGCTGTCATGTCTTCTTGTTGGACGCTTTCTGCAGCGTTCTAGAAGCAGCATCTGTGCTTTGCCGATCCTATCCTCATCAGGTCCCGTTGATGAGACGATTTTGCCGCGAACCATCTCTTTGACAAAGTCAACGCCACGATATCATTGTCTGCTTCTATCGCTTGACAAAGTCAACAAAATCATCCGTTCACGTAAGCAGGTAGGGTGTCGCCATGTACTTACACGTGGCGAAACAGACTACACCCACGTCGACCACTGTGCCACCTGGAGATGATGATGTATCGTTTTCGTTCTTATTAAGATGTCACGTTCGTGTGGGCAGACTCGTGTCAAACCCATCGCCCGCCGATGATGATCGATACCCACTTCAAATGGGAATTGCAGTGGGCTGTTTGCTTAAATAAGATTCAAATATCTTTTGATTAGGTGCTCTTTAATAGGATGAAAATTGAATCGTTCCCGCGTGACGACGACTGCACTCCCGCTTCGGTCATCGCAGATTCCCCTCCCCCAAACGTTGAAACCGACCTCCTCGCTCCGACCGAAACTCTAGACATCGGCTCCCGCGGCCCTTTATCATCCGAGACGGCCGCAACCGTGCTGCCCTTGATCGCCCCGCCACTCTCGCTTTTCCTCCGCGGTCGCAGGTCTCCGATTTTCTATTCGGGCAGACGGCGACGATCGACATGGTGGCCAAGTACAAGACGAGGGTCGAAGAGCCCGGCATTCCGGGGTTGCTCAAGATGGTGACTGCCTCGCCTTCTCCCTTTTGCACTAGTTTATGTTCGTTGGATCAAGTTCTTGTTGTTGTTGCTACCGAAGCTCGTAGTGATGTGACTCGTAATCCCTAGTCAAGAACATTTTATTTGGAGTCAAGATGAATCGAAATTTACACGGCACTGATCCACGTTTATTGTTGTCTTGTTTGATGATATGTTTGCAGTATTTATCCATCGTGAGCTTCATTTTTTTTTTTTTCCAGTTTTCTTGGCCCAGAACGCAAATACTTGTTAGTTCTTCGGTAGGTTCTTTCTTATGTGGGTCTACTGTCTATTAATCTGAGGAAGAACTATGATCTAATTGGTGTTTGCAAGTTCTATTCCATTTCAAGAATTTTTTTTTTTTGTTATTGTTGAAATACCTAATGCTAACGCCCATGATCAATCTTGTTCGATGGTCTGCAGACAGAAGATGTAATTACTTTTGCTCCCTGATGATCCTACATCAGCAACGTAGCTTAAAGTGGATTTTAGGTGCAACAAGGGTGCTGCCTGCTTTTCCTCTCCTTTACTGTCGAAAAGTTTCTTCATCTGAAATCATAATGGTAAGGGTTTTTTTCACGATCTAAATTATGATTGATGATTGCCAAATCGGATTCCAACAGTTGCTCTTGTTGGATTGTTATGTTCTTTTTTACTTGTTTGAATTGCAACAGAGTTCCCCTATTTGTCTGACAGTGAACTTTATTTTTCTGAAAATATTATGCCCATTTTATGATGATAAAGCATGCATGATACATTAATGCAGTAGCATGATGGTACAAAATGGCTAACGGGAGGACATCTAACCATGTTTTCGGAAATATAGTGGCGCTATTCAATGAACATGAACCTACAGACTGTGTCCCCGTTGCG